GTATGTGTGTGTGTTCTGTTACAAATTTAGCTTGGAACAACACACCAAGGAAGGTATGTGTGTGTGTGTGTGTTATGTCACAGATCTAGCTTATAACAACATACCAAGGAAGGTATGTGTGTGTGTTCTGTTACAAATTTAGCTTGGAACAACACACCAAGGAAGGTACATGTATTTGTATTCTGTCAAAATTTAATTTATATATATTAGAAATTAGTCATCTAAGTCAGTGAAGTTGGTTGGTGAGAGGTAACAATGGGCTGACTTCACTACACTTTCTAATGTCTTCCATAATGAAGGCTGAATACATCAGGTGATGGTAAATAGTTTTAAATATATTTATTGTCACTGTATAGGCTAAATAGCAATCTCTATTTTAATTATTTGTTGCCAACTGCATGTTAGTTTAATTTTATTGTGAAGAAGGAAGTTTAACCAATGTTTTGAAACTTCCAGCAAGGAGGACTTGGGCAGATGAATATTCCTTTATTGTCAGATTTCAACAAGACCATAGCAAGAGATTATGGAGTTTTAATCGAAGATGCAGGAGTTGCTTTGAGGTATAAGATGGAGTTTCTATAAATTTATCAATAAATTTCTGTAGATTTATTAAACTGTAGACTTGATTGTTATTTTCAGGAATTTTACAAATGAAATAACCTGCACAAATGTATTTATTTACATATATCATTTTGGTATTTTTGTTGAGTATCTGTTAAAATGTAGTGTTCGTGTAATTCTTGTAAGTTTTAAGAGGTGGTGATTTATATACTGGTTTAAGTAATACACTATCACATATCTTAAGAAAATGGAGAAAATTTTTAAAAGTTACTCTAAATTAAAATCCATCTATTTATAATTGTATTTAGCCATTTGATTATTTCTTTTTGTCCATTTATGGACTTTTATGTCATGCATGTGTCTCTCATCTAAAGGTTCACATTGTTTGTTTTAGAGGACTTTTTGTGATCGATCCTAAAGGAGTCATCAAGCAAGTTACCATTAATGATCTGCCTGTGGGGAGGTGTGTAAAGGAAACTTTAAGGCTCATCAAGGCTTTCCAGTTTGTAGAAAAACATGGAGAAGGTAAGGTCACCATTGATGTTCTGGTACTTCTTAGTTAGTTGAAAAGCACGGAGAAGGTAAGGTCACCAGTGAAGCTCACGTACTTCATAGTTTGGAGAAAAGTACAGAGAAGGTAAGGTCACCAGTGAAGCTCACGTACTTCATAGTTTGGAGAAAAGTACAGAGAAGGTAAGGTCACCAGTGAAGCTCACATACTTTGTAGTTTGGAGAAAAGTACAGAGAAGGTAAGGTCACCAGTGAAGCTCACGTACATCTTAGTTTGGAGAAAAGTACAGAGAAGATATTTTGTAGTAATAAATAATTGTGGTTTAAAAGGTGTATTACTTTAATTTGTCAAACATGATTGTCAGATGTTACGTTCAACAATTTTCAATTAAAGGCTTTTACGTATAATTCTTAATAGTATAAATATATACTTTGTTGTTGGACTTAGGATTCTTCTGTAGTAGGTGTCTGTGACTTGTTGGTGATAAATTCAAAAATACATGAACAACAGCGTGCACTTCACTTGTTTTCAAAATAATATATATATTCGAACTAGTATACATATGTACAACAAATTCTTCACACTATAGTGATTATAGGCATATCGTAAACACTATATAATTCTCTTCTTCTTGTCAAAAGTCCACTTAGGCCTATTCAGTTGCTTTAGAATTTCAGTTGACAAGCTGAACTACATTTCTCTATTTCTATCTCACTAGTATTCCATGTATAATTCACTTATGCTGCCTCTTTGACTTACTGCAGTTGTATCCTAAACTTCCGATATTTGTCTGCTTTTCATATTTAGACCTACTTCCAATAATCATCTGCTTTTTTGTCAAAGTCCACACAAGCAGGTTCAATTGCTATAGAATACCCTTTGATGTGACAAATTATTCTCCTGAAATGTCAGAAAACTGATAAACTCACTTTAACATATCAACTGTTAGGCTATTCACTCCTACGATGGTTAACTTTATGTTTTCTAACCATTCTTTTGGTTGCACTTCAACTTCACGTGAGTTTACTTTCTCAATTTCTTATGTCTGTCTTCTGTTTCCACTTGTTTCACACTATGTATATGTTTATCACTTAATTGTCTGCCTGCCTTCTAGAAACTATATTCTTGACATCATTGTATTGCACACAACATTTGATAGTCTCAACTTCAATGAATGATAAACACAACTTCCAATAATCATCAGCTTTTAACTCTCTTATTAAAAAAACAACTAAACAATAATAAAATATTCACTCACAAAATAAATTAATCAACAGTATCTACACTAAGCAGTCTTTTATATCATGACAATGTGTATTTGTTGAAATAAAGCATTCGTGTTCACTTAATAGTTATCATAATTAGTTTAACCTTTATATATTAAGAAAAAATCTGTAAATCAAAATGATGGTTTTTAATTTGTTAGTGTTAATAATTTCATACTTCTTTGGCCTTTGCAAGGCATATAATGTTACTTGTAGAGATGCATTTTCTAGTGCAGCTTTCAGTTGTATTAAATATCTACTATGGTTTACATTCTACGGCTTGTAAATGTAACTGAACAGTAAAACTTCTAAAATTGTATTAACAAAAGTTGTATTAATGTTAACTTTTCACATATCAACCCTGAATAGATAGCTATAAATTTAACTGAAAATGCTCTGGATTGTTACGTACATTTCTTATACCTAGTGCTGGAAAGCTGTATATTTCATTATTGCAGAAAAACTAATTTTGTGAAACTTTTTCTTTTCTCAGCTTCTCAAGGTTTACCAAAGATTTATCATACTAAAAATGTTTTTTTAAGATACAGTATTTAGTGTTCATTGTATAATTTGGATATATTTCTACCTTCAACAGATGATGGTTGTTTTGTTACTTACGTACATACTTTGTAATTATGAATATTTAACCACTGAATTTTCGTCCACTTTCAACAGTATGTCCAGCAGGATGGCAGCCTGATTCTCCATCGATCAAGCCTGATCCTAAAGGCTCTCTAGAATATTTCCAGAAAGTTAATTGATGTAGTAGAAGAGCAAGGAATGTTGCCCATTTAAAAAAAAGATGGTTTCTTTGACAATAAATGTTTCATGTTCTTTATTATTATTAGCCATTTGAACAGTTTATTGTTTGTAAGTGGATGTTACTTCAATAAACAATGCAAGATTGTAGTATATATAAATATATATATGTGTGTGTATGTTAATAAATCACATTAAAGAAAGTGCAGTAAAGGTTAGTACACACATGACTATATCAGAAGGGATTAGAAATTGAAGAACAATAGTCAAATATACTAAAGAATTATGAAAATTCATTGTTCTAAAAGTACAAAAAAATTCAAACAAAAATTGGAAACAAACAACAAAACATCAGTCTCAGAATTATAATTTTCCTTCTAGTTTAATTACTCTGAAAATTATTTAAATTCTTGCTATCTCGTGTATTATTTTGTATATTTCACCTCCCCTATTTGTATATAAGTTGTACATTCCTTTGTTGTCACTAGCTGGCTTCACAACCTTTAAGATATTTTCACACAAAAGTGTTTCGTTTTTTTTTTCCACATGAAAAATTGATTTGCATTATACATAGCTTTTTGCTAATCTAACTGTACACATATTAATAGCCTAATAATAGGTAATGTTTTTGTGAAACTAAAGCTGTAATTTTTTCTAGGCCTAATCTTATAAATATGTAGCTCGTTATCTTGTGCAGAGCACGTTGTCCAATCAAATACTCTGAACTCTGCTGGTTCTTTGATTGAAAATTAGCATTGATACCGTATATTAGTGGAATAATAATTGAAACAGCTTAAGAGTAATGCTGAAAATCTTCTTTGGCTTGTTATATGTATTTTAAAATTAACGATATCTGAACTTGAAATAGTCCGAGACATTGTGGTTGTATAATAAGGCATCCAATTCATTTTTTAATATATAACAATTATATTTTACCACATCTATAAAAATTAATCTATTGCCACAAAACTTATAAAGTAAGTAAAATTGCCTAATTAACCTGTAGCTCTTTTCAAATAATTTAATAGTTCAACAGGTAAATGTTTGTATTTTTCACTTGAAAAAATTTTAAGGTCAAATTGAGAGAAGAAATAATTTTTTAATCTTACATGTGGTGAATACATTATAATAGGCTTAGTACTTACTACTTATATTAGTCGTATGGTACTAAATATGATTCTTAATAACTTTTTGTTTTGCAGTGATGTAAAATAAATTCACACAAATTTCTCAAGGGTTTCTGAAATTGTTTAAGAATAATAAACTAAACTAAAAAAGTTGCCTGACACGCATGGTTGCCTTAGAGATTGCGAGGCCTAAAGGCATAGTAGTAGCTGGCAGGGCCCGCACACCACTGATGTTTGTCTTTAAACGTAAATCTAGCTGTGCTCAATCCATTGCGAGTATCGAAGCCCGTTTTTTAGCGTTGTAAACCCACGAACTTGCTGCTGAGCTGCCAGGGATCTCGGATATTAAAAGCGGCGCCATTATGCACTTAATTTGATATTGTAAGCCTTGTGCCAAAGCATCCCTTAAGACTTAAGTTATTGTAACAATATTTAAGTAGATAAATGTGATTACTAGCCATCGAAACAAAATCCATGTCAAAGATTTCCTTTTCGCAGGAGGTAAAATTCAAAAGAGAATATGTGACATAAAAACCTAATTCACATCCATGTGAAATAGATCGAATGCATCCTTAAGTCTTCTGTCAACAACATCCACTCCATGTGATTGTATCTTGGTGCGAATATTTCCAACATCAGTTTGAAATATGTTGTGAGCAATGTTTCCACCATTATTTCGCCTATCAGGACCAGGGACCGATATTAAATATGTACATAGTGGTTAAACCCATCTTTAGGTCTGACAAGTGACCTCCGTTTGTACATGCTGTAACTTCGTTTCTGTAATGCATACTTGGCACCTTTTTCATGTATGTGTATATACACA